TCAGAGGCTGGAACAGCACTGGGCTGCTCATTCTGCTCTGGCCAGAAAGAGACAGGCTTCAGTAATATCAATGCTGTTCCTAGGCTTCTGCTTTGGATTTGAAAGGGATCTTTCCCCCTCTCACTTGAGCACGGAAGAGTTAGTCTCTTCTTACCCACCTCAGTTGGCTTTCTTCTCTCCCTCAAAGACCAAGGATGCAGTTTTGTCCTGGGAAGAGAGAGAGTTGTTTGGGATTAGCCTGGCTCTCTGTGGCAAGTGGGAGTTTCTCTTCTGTCTGCAGGTGCCAGGACCTCCACAGGTGAGGTTCCTTGTGGAAACCAAGGCTGTTCATGTTTCTCTCTTCCAGGGACGTTTTACTCCCTGCCCTTTATGATGCTTCCCATATCGGGCCCTTCTGCAGTACTGGTTCCATCTTTCAATCTTGTGGAGCCTCTGTGTTTGTGAGGCAGGTTCTGCATGGCCTGTTGAGTGGTATTTGCAGCCATCCCAGCAGCAAATATTTGAAAAAAGCAGCTCAAGTTCTACTTGGAGCCCAGCTTCTGTGTGAGCTATTGTGTGCACCACAACACTTCTTTGTGGCTGGTTTGTCCAAACTCTAAAATCAGCATAATTGGAAATTGATCCCATTGGTAAAGACTGTCAGGTAAACACAGAGCATGGAAAAGATGAGTGCAGCGCTATTCTCAAAAATGGCCTTGTGAAGATAAACCACTATGGATTGCAGCAAGATCTAGAAGGAGGTTTATGAAGGATGGACATTGTGCATGGGAGCCACAATCTGCACATGGTACTTTCTCCTAGAAACCTCCTACCCCTCGGCTTTCTCTTCCCAATTTTCTTCATGGGCTTCTCCTCTCACACCTTCTGCTAAAAGCCTCATGATCTCAGGGCTCCATCTTCCTGTTCTCATTCCATGCTCTTTCCCTAAGTGACCTCACCCACTTCCATGGCTTCAAACCACCACCATGTGCTGCTGACAAATTCTCCGGCTCAGACCTCACTTCAGAGATCTTTCCAGTTGACTTCTCCACCTGGAGAGAGTGGAGGCAGTAACACTCAGCTGACATGAAGTGGAGCTCACCATCTCTCCCCTGTCACCCCAAACCTGCTGCTCCCCTATACTTTGTCTTCCCAAGCTTGAATCAGAATAACCACCAGTCTCCCTCATATTCCCAATTCCCAGATCATCAAGCTTTCCTTCTCCTCACCACTGCCCTTCTAAGCCATCTCCAAGGGCTTCGGCTCATCTCCCAGCCTCCACTCCCACATCCCCCAGTCCAGGCTTTACACTGACAGCCATCATCTTTCGAACATACTCATCCAATTGTGCCTATGCTGCTCACATTTCAGCAGTTCCTCATCACCCAAAGATGAGGTCTACTCTCCTTGTTTTCAGCATTATAGATCTCAATCATTGGACCCCTGCCTATTTGTCCCACCTTGTTATATACTAGCCATTCTCTATCATTCACCCAAGTGCTTGCTCAGCCCCAAAGGTTCTCCTGGCTTGGTGCTTTGCTAATATGCTGTTCCTGCTTCCTGAGATGGCTTCCTCAGTAGGTCTGCCCGGTGATTCCAGGACTTCCAGAAGCTACCCCTTACTCCCCAGGGCAAACCAGAATGCACATTGTTCTGTGCCTGCCTAGAACCCTGAGTTGATTTAGCACTTGTCCTGAAACTATTATAAATGTTTTGTGTGAGTCAGCTATTTTCTTTGGATTAAAAGTTCCTTGGTGGCAGGGACATGCATGGCCCCCACAGCAAACATTCAAAATGTTGAGCAAATATCAGGATGCCCACACTTGCCAAGGAAGTCAAGCCAGCATACAGCAAAAGCATCTTAATCTTTCCCACACTGCCTAAGAGAGTGACTTTCTAGTCTGGGATCTCCATTGGCACGTCGATCAGAAGCAGCCCAGATGAAGCTAAATGGCTGTGTGCCAGCCAGAGGTGGGAACCCAGGAGGCATGCATGCCATCAATCATGTACCAGCTCCCACAGAAAACACCCCTGCTTGTCTTTGTCTCTCAACCATAGCCACAGCTTCGCAGAATGAAAAAAAAAAATATCTGAGGTTATGTGAGGTGGTTCTTAGCTTTGCATCCAACCCTGTGGCACCTGGACCACAAGAAAGGACCTGAACTTTTAGTTCGACTCTGCCTCTGGGTAACATCTTCACAGAATCTAGCATCCAAGTCATTGGAATTCCTGGCTTGGGAGGCGTGAAATGGTCCAGGTGCTCTCACTTTACTGGTTTATTTCCCTCCTCGTGGAGTTTTTTGTTTTAATTCCTGGCAAAGGAAGGTACCTTTTCTCCAACCAGAGGATGAAAGATTAGTAGGCTATGTTCTTAAGAACTGGGATTTCTTCTTCTTTGGTCATCAGTTCATGTTTCAAGAAGGAGAGCTCTTCAAGCACACAACACTGAGCTAGGCACTGACACCCACTTGCTATACAAGCAGAGTCAACATGTGCCTGCCTCAAGGAACATATGGCCAATCGGAGCTTACATTTCCCAGGAACATTATCTAGAGGTAACTTCTCAGGAAGGCCTGACTCACCATGTTATGTAGGAACCTTTTGTAGGAAGACAATTCCCAATGACCTGCGTTTTAACTATACAGGTGAGAGGGTCTTCCAGCCCTCAAATAGAAATTCTAGTTGTCAGATCTTTTGTGGAAAGGAATCTAGTATTGATTAGAGTATTCGTCTTGCAAAGCCCAGACTTTCACCTCTTTCTCCCCCAACTCTTAAAACCCTATATTGTCCTTTTGGCTTATAAATGACCCAGTTTACAACAATTTAGTAGCTGAGAACTCTGTTTTATCTTTGGTGGATTTTGCATGACTAAACTGTAGGGCACCCAGTGAAAATCTGGCCCATGAGATGCTCCATAATCTCTGGGACAGATTTTGCCCAAGTGTGCCTTGGGGTTACTCAGACTTCTCTGAATCATGATCATTGAGTTTTCTGGGCAGCAGCTTGGGCCTTTTCAAAGTAGCAAACATGAATCCTGGTGCCAAAGTTGTTAACAAGTCATTGGCCCAAAAGCCGGAGCTGTAGTTATTTGCTGCTCGCTCTGCAGAAGTATTAGCATTGTTTCAGCAACAACAAGACATGGTGGAGAACAAAGTCTGGTAAAATAGGTCCAGGATGTCACAGAAGGGACAGCACCAGAGCTGGCAGGGTCTGGACTCTGCCGAACCAGTTTGGGTCGAGGAGAATATAAGGGGTTGGTACTGTGTGCCTGAGGAAGCCTTGTCTCTCTGTGGTTACTGATGATCCCAGAGGGACCCTCCGCTTGTCACAATAGAATGAAGGGCCTCCAAGCACAAAATCAAGTGATTTCTTGCCTGAGATGACAGAGTTTGTTCTTAACATGGCGTGGGATATCCAATTCTGTTTCCCTAGAAGTTCCCCTTCTTTGGCCTTCATGTTACTGCACATCAAGAAGTGACCTCCCCAGGGCTACCCTCCCCTTGTATCTTTGAGTTTCAGGAACATCCCATACCCCCTTTCCGTAAGCCTATGTTTGGTTCCCCCGGGGCGGGGGTGGGGCAGGGCCTGATTTCAGCATAGGCCAGGTTTCTTTAATCAATCCCAGTTAACTACTTTAAAAATTTTTAATTGGAAGGTTCCCACTGACTCTGGAGTATTTGTCAGTGCCTCAGAATAAAGCAGTTGGCAATAGACAGTGTCTTGTAATCAACATGGTTAGTAATGGATAATACTTTATAGGAAACATGAATAATATTTACCCAGTACGTCAACATTTCTAAGTACTTTGCCGTCATTGTTTACCCAGCCCTAGCACTGACGGGCTATTTGGCCCTCATCTCGCGAGAAGTCGATACGATGTAGGTAAAAGCTAGGAATCGGGAGGTCTGGTTCTAGTTCCCAGTTCACCACATACTTGCTCCGTAACCTAGACTTAATGACTTAATTTTGCCATCTGTAAAATGAGCAAGGAGTGGATTCTAGAATCTACTAGCTGATTCTAGAGATGTCTCAAAGATCTTATCAGCTCAAAAACTCTAAGAGAGCATGGGCAAGTGCTTTGTTCTGGTTGTACTTAGCAAGGTGATAATTCTCATGAATTCTGATACAGTTTCTATTTAATTTTCCCAACTCTAGAGTCCCAGATTTGGGCTTATTTCAGATATGCTTTGGAATTTCTATTGTCCTATTGTCTAGCCAGTCTCTGGGCCCTTCCAGTCCTGGTACCTTTGTCGTCAATATTCAAGAAAAAGGTTAGGAACACATCCAGATACATTCCATAACTTGGAGAAGAGGTCAGCAGTCGCGCTCGCGCACCTCCCCCCCCCCCCCCCACACACACACAAGTGATAGTTTGGAGTCTGATGCCCTAATTCGCACTGGAGCAGGAAGGCAGAAGAAAGATTAGGCTAAGAATGACAACAGCCCCACCCATGGAGCCCTGCAGTTGCCTGGTTGACCTATCGCTGTGGAAAGCAGAGGAAACAGCATGTGAAGAGCTACACTGAACCTAGAAAGACGTTTTCTTTGAGATGAAGACTCATCATATGTAGTTTTAGCATTCTAAGTCAGTAATGAAGTAGTCTGACCAAAGCAGTGGTTCCTTGGCATGTTTTTGGTCATGAACCCCTCTGAGAATCTTATGGAAACTATGGATGCCTTCTGCCCAGAAAAATAAACATATTTACAAATTGGGATATAATTTTAAGGAATTTCCTATATGCCCTGAAGCCCACAGACCCCAGTTAACAACCCCTAGTCTAAAGTAGATTAAGGGAACCCAACAGCAAGAATATCAGGGCAAGACCAAGATTTTGAAGTCCAGAATTTGCTGCCAAAATTGAATTGAACGAATAGTAACATACAGGGTTTTTTTTTTTTCTTTTTTTTTCTTCCCCTCTGGCCATCACTTTCCTTTCCTTTCTCTACTCCCATATCTTTCGTCATCTCTTCTCGTTCCCTTTCAATTTCTCTCCCCATCTCTTGCGCATCTTGCACCACAGATGTTCCAGCCTGGTTAAAAAGCCTCCGCCTGCACAAATATGCCGCGCTTTTCTCCCAGATGACCTATGAGGAAATGATGGCCCTCACTGAGTGCCAGCTGGAGGCTCAGGTAAGTGCTTCAGGCGACCGTCCCCTGAGAAGCTGCCCCAGGTGGAACCTGAAGCTGAAGCCCAAGACAGACCTTGTTTGGACCCATACCTATACCCACCCAGTAGCTTGCCTTATTCTAGGAACTGTCAGGTGCTGGCCAGCATTGCATGGTGAGTAAGGCTGGGTTCTTGCCTTCAGGGTCCTGTAGGAGATGGGGACCAGCAGGTAACTAAATGAGACTCAGTGAGAAAGAGTATTATGAAAAAGGTATGACCTAGGTGCACGCTCTACGTTCAAGGTGCCAGGGAGGAATCAGTGGAGTGGCCTAGAAGTAATATTTGACCAAGGCCTCAAAGAGTCTGTGTCCCTGCTTTTGCTTTCCTTGCCCTGTCCCTCCATCTGTCCAGCTAGGGTTTGTTTGGACAATGACAAATTGGCTGTCGGTTGTCCAGTCTCGTTTTCAAATCAGCTAAATTTTAGTAGTTAATGAGTCAAAGCACCAAGTCATGCCTCAGACATTCCCCAACACAAAGCATTTTCAGACTGGACTCAGCTGAGATTGGAGTAAGTTGTACAAAATCCTTTCTCTTTCTTCTAACTACCTTGAATAATGTGGGATAGTCGTAGAGAATGAAATTACTCCAAGGCTCAGATTTCATTTCTCTATGTTTGCCCATAAAAGAACAAAGTTCTCCCTTCCTTCTAAGGCATCTTTCCCCAAGTGTGGATACCAAAGGCTAGGCCGTCAATAGACACTCCCCCCCAAAACTAAGCATGCTTCGTACCATGCTGTGCTCGAGTAAATAAATCTGACCAATGTCTTTGTTTCCCTTGCTTAAAATGCCATTTGCATGTTTCTAATTGACCTCAGTTTTCCTTTGAGCAATGATTTAAAAGAATTAATGGTCTGAACAAGCTAACAGTATTTCCCTTGCAGGAAGAGGAGATTGTACCATTTGGGGCAGGACTGCTCTGGACACATACCTCCCAGCTCATGCTGGTTTCCCATTGCATATTCAGTACCCTCAGTTAACCTCTGCAGGCCTGGCTGAATACCAGTATTGAGAAACAAGACAAAGCCCAAAGGCACTGCACATTCTCAGAGGATGAAAGGCACTAATTTCAACTTCCTAACACTTCTCCTGCTGCTTTTTAGATCTTGATTGCTCCTTGAGATCCCAGGGGTTGATGAAAGCTACTTCTAAGAGCATTTTTTATGTTTGGGGTCAGAGTTGAGGGGAAAAAAACTAAGTCCTCAGTTACTGACTGGAGAAAACAAAAACAAAAACCAAAAAACAAACAAGAAATAATTGACAGAGAGGGCTAAGCCAGAGGCCAGCACAAACTTTTCAGAGTAATTTAATTCACTTGAACCCAAAGTCAAGGTAAACAGAAATCTGCCCCCTAGCACTTCATCTTAGAGAGTGAGTTCAGTTGTCATTTGAATGTTAATATCTCTGAAGGAGAGGTCTCTGGTGTGCCCCCTCTTTTCCTTCTTTAAGAGGAATCCTATGACTAGTTGCAGGAAGTCACCAGAAGTTTGTATTAGAGACCTGACTTAAGAAAGGATCTTCTGCTCAGAAATATGCAGTATGTGTCGTCAACAAGTGTTTAAATACATCTGTAGGCTCTGCATTGCACACAGTTAAGACAAAATCCACAGCCCTAACTGTGAATCCTAATCATTTAGCTGAAGTGATGACTAAACTATAGTTTTACGTTCTGTCCTACTCTGGTTTTCCTTATGGAGACCAAAGATGACCTGCAAACTGCCAAAAATTGCCCTGTGTTATAGGACACACAGTGAGAATTGTACCAGCCGTCCCATGTTCTTGAGTTGGGAAAACCTAGGAAAGGTTTGAGAAAACAGTGAAGATCTGGATGGGATTCGAACCTTCAGGCAAACTGAGGGGCTGAAATGATAAAATACGGAGAAGAGGGTGTATGACTTTAAAATGATCCTTTGCAACTGTGAAGACATTTCATGCTGGGTGGGTAATTGCCTATTCTAGCCCCCTCTCTCCTCTCCTAAAGGTCGCCACCAAAGGACACAGGCAAATGGGTAGACAGATGTAGTGAAAACATTTAGTAAGGAGAGGTTTTATGACAATGAGTACTGAAGAGAGAGACAAATGGATACTTACTAGTCTGCAAATGTAGGAACCAAGATGACAGTAAATAGCCTCCAAGAGTCTCTAAACTGGTTCTTAAAAATATATCTTTAAATGCAACTTTTGTTTAATTACAGAATGTTACCAAAGGTGCAAGACACAAAATTGTCATCAGTATTCAGAAACTAAAAGAAAGACAAAACCTCCTGAAGTCTTTGGAAAGGGTAAGTTATCCCCAGGTGAAGGCACATCTCCACCTTCATCACAGGGAAATTCTCAGTTGAAGGTGTCCCCAGCAGACCTTACAGAGTGTATCCCTTGTTTCCCTACCAGAGGCAGAAAAACATGAAAGGATTTTCAGGTGAACTGTCCTGGTCCCCCATGCTTCTGGGTAACCTGACTGCTGAAATGTACTTATTCCCTGGGTTGAGGCAGCCTGTGACTGGCCATCCCGGAAACTCCCGGTTCAGTAGAGAGAATGAAAATCATTTCGCTGATAAGCACCTATCAGCTGCTACTGTCCCTTTTTGTTTGTTGCTTAAACAAGTTCTCTTCCTGTCTTTGTATCCGGACATCACCCTGGTAATGATATTTTTAGGACGTGGTGGCTTTATGATTTCATCTGAGGTGTAGAGGAGAGCAGGCCTGTTCCTGGGCTGCCCTCTGCCCCAAGTGGGGATTCTTGTGCATTGCTGATGGGAGGGGGTCGGGACTGGTGGGTGGAAAGTTCTGTAGGGATGTGCCACCTGCAGCGCCTGAGTGGTGAGGTCTCTAGAGTGTCCAGGCTGCCTTTGGAAGGAAACAAAGTATTGAGAGAGGAAGGGCTAATGCAGGTTTTGAGAACATAAACATTTGAATGCAGTGAGAGGGGTTTTTTTAATATATAAAACTGGGGGGCACCCGGGTGTCTCAGTTGGTTAAGCATCCGGCTTCAGCTCAGGTCATGATCTCACGGTTCGTGGGTTCAAGCCCCACGTCGGGCTCTGTGCTGACAACTCAGAGCCTGGAGCCTGTTTCAGATTCTGTGTCTCCCTCTCTCTCTGACCCTAACCTGCTCGCTCGCTCTCTCTCTCTCTCTCTCTTTCAGAAATAAATAAAACAATTTAAAAAAATTTTTTAAATGGGTGTATATAGGGACACCTGGCTGGCTCAGTCAGAAGAGCATATGAGTCTTGATCTCGGGGTCATAAGTTGGGTGTAGAGGTTACTCAAACAAATAAAACTTTAACAACTGTTTTAAAAGATGTGTGTATATAATTTTGCATACAAAACATAAAGTTATATTTAATGCATATCACATAAAATATAAAATATAGGTGTAGAATATGCATACATAACTTTATAAGGAAAGTGGGTTTTAAAACCATGGAACAGAGAGAGGCTACTCACATGCCCATCGTGCTGAAAGGTCTGCCCTTAATTAAAGTGAGTCACAAATGACAAGTGACCTATCCAAATGAACCCGAGGTTATTGTTCTTAATTTTATGATAACTCCTTCACCAAGCAGTTTGTCTAACAGAGTGATGATTATCATCTTTATTATAAGAAACCATTCTCTTTTGGGGACGATTCAAAAGGCCGGTTTCCTCCTCCTCTGTTAGATCGCACAGAAAGCTTTCTGCATAAGGACTAGCTTGCTAAGTATTACGGTGAATGGGTGACTGTCTTCTCTCCCCACCCCCCTTACCTCCGGAGCATCCTTCGGGAACTCACAGGAACTCTGGCATTGAGGAAATGCACCGACCCGAAAGACAGAGATGGAACTGCTGTTTGCTCTAGTCCCTGTGGCCTTGGGCCATATCACAGGGTAACAAGGGCACAGGGTGGCAACAGGTGGCCTTGATATGCCACAGACTTTCTATCTGGCTTTTGATAAGTCCGTGTCATTCCACACCTACGATGATATTGATTCCACAAAAATACTTTCTGCCTGGTTCACTGGAATGGGAACTTTTTTAAGTTTATTTTTATTTATTTTTGAGAGAGAGAGAACAAGCAGGGAAGGGGCAGAGAGAGGGAGAGAGAGAATCCCAAGCAGGCTCTGCACTCATGAACTCGTGAAGTGTGAGGTCATGACTCGAGCCGAAATCAAGAGGCTGATGCTCAACTGACTGAGCCACTCAGGTGCTGGAACAGGAATTGATAAAATGATGACAAATGTAATACAAACTCTGAGAGCAGCAAATGGTCAAGAGCAGAGCAGTACTGAGTTTACTTTGACATCCTTGAGGAGGGAAGCTTATGTGTCTATGAGACCAGTGCGTTAAGCTTGCTTCGGAACACTTGCGTTGGGACACCTGAACTTATCCCTTATCCCTTTGGGAGCTGATGACCTGGGGTTGGGGGTCCTCAGCAGCCCCTTGGCTGTGTTCTCTCTCCTCTGGGACCAAGGCTCTCCTACACTTTGAGGGAGGGAGTTTACCACTTGGGCCACCAGTGGCAGACTTGGTCAGTCCTGTCTCTGGTGATCCCAGATGTCCTGAGCGGATTATGCTGTTGGAAATGCTGTCATCAGGCCCCTGCTTGCGTACAGCATTCTTACCTCACACAGAACCTGGGGCCCCGCCCATGGCTAGTTCATAATCAGAAGTTGCTGCAGATAAGCTCCATGTCCAGATCTCTTCCACTCAGCCTGAACACTTACTAAGCAGCTGCCTTGGACTAGATTTACCCCATCCACTGGAGGCTAACCGTGAGCAACACAGTAATATGTGGCTCCTGCCTTGGGGAGCTTGAGATGCACACTGCGACGCATACGTGTGGCAGAGACACAGCCGGTGCTCTCAAATCCCCTGTGATCAGTGCCATCACCAAGGCAGGTAGGAGAATCCTCCTGGGATGAAACACAGCACTCTGCAGTGGTGACAAAGAGGGAAACCTTAGAGGGCCCGGTACTGGGTGGAAGACTCGTCAGGAGCCTACGGCCAGACTTGGTGTACCCTTGAGCTAAGGCAGGGGCTGCGGGGGTGGAAAGGGATAAGAGAGGTCATTTAGCAGAAGTCCATGCATTGGCCTCGGCGCCATGCCATTTGGAAACAGCAAATATAGGAGTGGCCAGGTTTGGAGAAGTAGAGGTCAGTTGGACCAATCGAGTCTAAGGTGCCTATGGGACACTCAGGCAGAAAAGGCAAATTAGTGGCCGGAAGAACAAGGTGAGAGTCCACAAGGGCTTGGAAGACGCGTCCTTGGGTCATCTGTACATAAATGGCAGTTGGCTCCCCGAGAAGTGTATGCTAAGTGGTTAGAGCTGAGGCCACGCCCTGAGAAGCACCATCCGGAAGATATGGAAGGGTTGAACAGTGACAGGCTGAGCCCACCCAGGGGGTGGGAGAAGCGTTTGAAGGAGCGAACCCCATCAGGTGCTGTGGATGTGTCCCCTACAGTGAGGACTGAACAGCGCCCCCCGGAACTGGCTGCCAGCGGGTCACTGGTGGCCATAATGAGAGGGGATACAAGGAGAAGGGAGGGATAGAAGCAGAAACCCACGAAGCCAGGAGTGTGAATGGGTGATGAGGCCATGGGGTAAGGAAGTACAGACTTCTCAAGATGTTTGGTGGAAAAGAAAAAGTTAAGATTAGAATGGTAGCTGGGGCAGACTTTTCACCATTGATCTTTAATAACAGAGTGTTTCCACGTGCTTTTTATTCACTGTCCTTTTTCAACTAACTCCCGAACTGTGAAGCTAAACTATTCCCTGGGAACCGGGCACAAAGAAAGGACACACACACACAGTGTCCCCACAGTACCCTGTCCTGACTGCACGCGCTCACTGTATGGGCCCCAGGAGCTGTAAGCATCTCAGGACAAGGATTCTGTTGCATTTGTTTCTAGGTCCCTGATGCCTCGCAGTGCCTGGCTCCCAGTAGGGCTCAGCTGGAGTGTGGTGAAGGAAAGGTGGCAGGGGAGTAGGTTCAGTAAGTGCACGAGTGCTGTCTACCATGTGAGAGGTCCTGTCCTTCCCACCCGGGGGCCACGGTCAGCACGTAAGTGCTGAGACCCTGGCTTCCCCAGCTCTGTCTTCCAGATGATTTGCCCCTTGCGGCCATCATGTGCCCTGAGAAAGGTTCCAAACCAGTCTTACTCTAAGACCTAAGAAAGCCAGGTAGGGGTTGGCAAGTAGCTGCCTATCCTGCGCGTGGGCCCTGAGCTGTGCCACCAAGCTGATTCCTGGCCCTGGGGAGCCGGCCTCCGTGGAGCCCCTCTGTCGTGAGCTCCTCAGCGAGGTGCATTAGTGAACGGACAGCTTCGTTTTGCCTCTTTGTGTTTATAATGTAGGGGAGTGTATTTATGGTCTGAAAGATCAAGAGACTTGGGTTGGTTCCCTATTTTTGTCAACATGGAGAATTAATTCCCACAGCTAGTTGAGACACTGGATTAAGTCCCACTTGGGCCATTTTCTAACTTCCTTCTCAACTTGGGCACTCAGTGTTGAGTTCTAGAATTGATTTTTGAAGAGTCAGATAGGTAACCCCATGGAGGCTGGCAAAAGGGGCATGGTTAACCTGTTGTTAGCCAAGTGTTTTCTTTGAGGCAGTGGCTTCAAGTCAATGGTGGGGGGGGGGGGGGAGCCAAACAAAGCTCTGCATGATTCCTGATAAGTTATGTTTGACAGAAAATGTCCATCATTATTCGTTAGGTTTATGGTTTCCTTTTTGGTATGGTTGTCTCCAGTGGAGTAAGTTAAGATTTGAACTTGGGACAAGTGTATGTTTCCTGTTTCAAAGAGTTCAGCTCTTAGCATAATCAAAATCTCCTTCCTCCATCACTGAGTAACTACGGAAGCCTTTTCGCATGTGACAGGAGCAGGCAAGGGTTGTTTGGTGGCAGTGGACACAATGTCACAAGGGTACATTTCTCACCTCAGTGGTAGCTGTCACATGGGATGGCATGGCAGGGTGCATGTGATCTCCCAAATAGGCCGGCCAGCTCTGCCGCCTCAGCTCCCACTCAGTGAGGAAGCTTCATCCCTTCTCTCTCCTTTCCCTTTCCCCCCTGCCCCCAGTCAGGGGCTGGAGAAGATCAGAAGGCCCCACGTCCCAGGTGCCTGTTGGCGGTGGGCAGGAAGTGGAGGACCTCGAGACGGGAATCCCTGTCACCCCAGTCGGCACATAGTTGGGTCAGGAAAGGCAATAGGTGCTCTCCTGGCTTAGGTCAGCTAGCTTGCTTCCATGTGCCCTGCCCTGATAGATCAGCAGGTCCAAAACAAGGGACCAGTCATGTGACTCCATGACTCATGCATCACGTTTGCTGGCACAGGCAGCAAGCTAAGTCTTTCCTCCACCATATCCACCAGGTTTAGAAGGAAGGCGGTAGACTCTTCAGCCCTCCTCTTTGAAAGAAAAATGGACTCTCTCCTCTACAATGGGCTGGACGTTCTCCTCTAAACCCATCTCTGGCCAGGACTGAAACAATTCTGATGGCTACTTAGCATTTCACTTTTCCTCAAAAGCCCTGGGTGCCAACTAGGCTAAGTTTCTGCTTCCAACCTCCTGAGCAAAGCAGGTTCCTGCCAGTGGTGGGGCTGGGCTATTGGTGTTTTGCTGCTCCGGAATGAAATGTGCCTGTCCAAGGCTGCCATCCTCCAGTTTCCGTTTTCTAATCGATTGGTAGGAAGTCCAATGTGCTATCCATTGCACTACAGACCCTCTAATCGACTGATCAGAAAGTCAGGGTATAGACGTGATTGTGTTCCTTGACACCACCAAGCAATTTTTCTTAGAGGATCCCAGGAATGGACTGGTACTCATGCTTCAGGCTTTTGAAATTATGTCCTTGCTATTCTGGGCTCTCGGGAGATTAAATACTTCATTAGTAATCAGGGCCTTGATTGTCAGTGTCCTTCCCAGGTCCCACGAAGAGGTCTGTTGCAAAAGCACTGGGGCAGCACTGGGGCAGAGGGCTGGACCACTCTCCATGCTAAAAAACATTCCCAGGCCCTGACCCCCAGCCACAAGCATCAGAGTCTGTTCTGTACCTCTGTGAGGATCTGGCACATAGATAAATGTCAATCAGAATCAGCATTCACTCCTTTTCCTAATAAATAACGGCCTGTATGTCAAACTGTATGTGCAGAAGGGCCCAATTTTATTATACAACATATAAAGCCATTTATATTATATATAATTTTAGTTGATCTTTGAACAGTAGGGGGCACTGACTCCTCCCCTGTGCAGCTGAAAATCCATGTGTAACTTCTGACTCCCCAAAAACTAAATACTAATAGCCTACTGTTGACTGGAAGCCTTACTGAACATACACTGTATGCTATATGTGTTATGTTCTGTATTCTTATAATAAAGTAAGCTACAGAGTAGAAAATGCTAAGAAAATCATCAATAAATTCATAACACTGTACTGTATCAAAAAAATCCACATGTAAGTGGATACGCACAGTTCAAACGCATGTTGTTCAGGAGTCAACTGTATAGTATACATATATTATCCATCTTTCTCTCCAGAATGATTCTTTGACAACATGTCGCTCCCTTGCTTAAAACTTCCCCTGAATGTCCCTTCTCATTTAGAAAAATTCCCTGCGTCCTTGCCTCCATGCTCAGGCCCTGGTAGAAACCTCATTTCCCACCTTCTCCTCTCACCATCCGGTTCCACCTCCTTGCTATTTCTCATACACCCTGGGCATGCCCCCCACTCATGCATCTGCCCTCACCGCGTCCTCTGTAGGGAGCACGCTTTCCCAGGACCCTCGTGCTCACAGTCATTTGGGTTCCCAGTCCAACGTCAGCCCCCAAGAGCCTCCCCTCACAGCCGCCCTAGCCTGCACCCTCGCACAATATTTTCATCTCAGGCTGCGGTGTAGACTCCCCAAGGGAACCAGAAAGGCTCTTCCCACCATGTCGTCTTGCCTAGCACAGTGCTCAGTTCATCAGTGTATCAGAGCGCTTGACACATACCCATTAACTTAACAAAGAAGCACATGACACAGTGATCTGACCCTGACCTGCAGCTTTACAAATATTAACATCCTCAAAACTACCCAGTGAGGCAGATCATGTTATCTTTATGTTATACATGGAGAAACTGAGGCACAAAGAGGTTATTTACCCAAGGCCATACAGTAGTGTCAGAATTTGAACCCCAGCACCTGTCCTAGAGTCAGTATTCTTTAAAGTTTTATTTGTTTTGAGAGAGATGGAGAGAGCCAGCAAGGGATGGGGAGGGAGCGGGGGGGTGGGGGGTGGGGAGAGAGAGAGAGAGAGAGAGAATCCCTAGCAGTCTCTTCACTGTTAGGGCAGAGCCCAAGGTGGGGCTTGATGCCACATACTGTGAGATCATGATCTGAGTAAGATCAAGAGTCAGACACTTCACTGACTGAGCCACCCAGGTGCACGCCCCCCTCCCCTGCCCAGTGTCTATATTCTTAACCACTACGCTGTGATGCTGGTGTTGTGGGCTGAGTGAGGGTGTGAACGAGCAGGTCCCTTCATCCTACACCTGTGTAGGTGACAGGAAATTACCACAAGACCCCAGCTTTATTATATAGCTTCTAAAGTGTGTGCATGTAAAATATATAAATGCTTTTTATAGAAATTCAGTGAGGAAGCCAGGGAAGGAAATGTACAAAACCGTTTTAGTGATCACCTCTAGCTGGTGGGATTTTCAGGTGATATATATTTTCCTCACTATGCATATCTGTATTTTGCCAAGTTTTCTACCAGGGCTAATAATAGAATGATAAAATTAAAATGGCTGCATTTCCAAAGACTGCTGGGATAAAGGGGCAGCAGCTGTGAGTCCCGTCTGGGAGCAGCTCCGGGCACGGGTGGGAGGGAGACGTCGAGGTGGGCCACCCCCGGTGCTGACCCTAACAGAAGTCTTCTCCCTTTGGCCATCCAGGACATCATCGAGGGGGGCAACCTGCGCATCCCGCTCCAGGAACTGCACCAGATGATCCTGACTCCCATCAAGGCCTACAGCTCCCCCAGCACCACCCCTGAGGCTCGCCTCCGGGAGTCCCAGGCCCCCCACCCGCCCTCACTGATGGGCCCGGAGGCCCAGAGCCCTGACTGCAAAGACAGTGCCACGGCCACCGGTGCCACAGCCACCGCCTCCGCTGGGGCCAGCGGTGGGCTCCAGCCACACCAGCTGAGTAGCTGTGATGGGGAGCTGGCCGTCGCCCCCCTGCCGGAGGGGGATCTCCCCGGGCAGTTCACACGTGTCATGGGGAAAGGTAGAACCTGATTCTCTCACCTCCCCCACTGTTCTCACAACACCACTGATCAGAGCTCCTGGTTCCTGAGGGGCTTGCCCAGGGTGCTGGATAAACCTGTCAAGGTAGATGCCCATTAGCCCATTTGCAGATGAGGAGAGTGAGGCTCAAAGGTTGTCATTTGGAACTGAACTCCAATCTCTCTGACCCCCAAAGGCCTTTTCCTTAACCCTGTCTCCTTTCTCTTCCACTCCCTCAATGCTGGGCCCTCCTAGCAGAGTGAGTACTCCTTGGGCCTCTGGGCCCATGGGCGGAAGGAAGTCAGCCCTTCCTTAATACAGACTGCTCCTTGAAGGCACCGTGGCCATGCTGTGTGCCTGTCTGGAGGGCAGACAGAATTCTCATGTGGTCCTTTGGGTATGAGCACTCTTTCTACCTCCCCTGTGCTGGCACGGTGACTACGTGATTATCTTTGCAAAGTCCAGTGTTAGAGTAATTTGTGCTCACGTGGGGTGTTTCACAAAGTATGATTATTTTAAGAACGCAGTGAATGCCAGTACTTTCCTTTGGGAAGGAGAAACAATTTTTTCTTCTTTATTTTCCAATATTTCAGATCATTTTAAAGAACCCAAGTTTTTACCAAAAGAAATGGACACCTGAGTCTTAGAGGTGCAGTGAGAAACTCCCCCGTGTGTCCATGTCCTAAAAAGAAGGACTTAGATCCACAGGTATCTGGTTCAGAGGAGACGATCTGTATCATCCCTTTGAGCTGAGATGGCCAGGGTGGGTCCCTGGTCTCCTCCCACTCACCTCCTAGCTCTCTCTACTTCCCAGCCTCCCACCCTCTAGGGGGGCTCTTCACAGTGTGGGATTAGAACAGATGACCCCATGGGTAAAGATACCCATGGGGGTGGACACCTGAGTATAACCCATGGTGGGCTCAGAGACCCGAACTCCTCAGGCATGGCTTCTTTTTACAGTTTCGCTACTTTCAAATAAATTATAAATGCATGCTCAACATAAAAAATCAAAACTAAGCAAAACGATGGAAAGTAAAAAATAACCTGCCCCCAAGCCCGCCTATCTACCTTTGCAGAGGTGACTGCTATAAACAGGTTTAGAATATCCCCTCAGGAACTTTGTAATAATCCCATACAAGCAACATGAGAACCTGTTTTACACACAAACAGGTGTTGTTTACACATTTTTCTGCAGCTTGTCTTTCGTACATTATATACTTTTAACATTTCTATCGATACAATATCACCACCCTGTTCTTTTTTAAACAGTTGCATGCTGTTCCACTATATGCATAAAGCGTAATTTAACAGGACCCCAATTAAAGGACACTGAGGTGGTTTTCAAGTTTTTGTTACTACAAACAATGCTATACTGAAAATCTATGTGCAAAGACATAATCTAAGTGGGATTCTGTGACATACTGGCTGTTCAGGATTAGGAAGAGAAAGGAGTCATGATGCCCAGGTTTGAAGCTTGGTCTACTTGAGTACAAGGCATTTTCACTTCTAATTGACATTTTTTGTCCAACCATCTCCGTCACAGCCTTCTATACACCCCCATCAAAACCAGAGCATCAGAGCCTCTAGGATGAGATGCGGATGCTGGCGGGGCCATGAGAACCCCAGTGGGTGTGTGCATTCTACTTGCAGACCGACTCTGCTCGGTCTTTACTGCTTCAGTTACTTGAGTGTGTAGGTGAACGTGTGTGTGTGTGTGTGTGTGTGTGTGTGTAGAAAGGTGTGTTATCACTTTGAGAAAATAACCCTCCACTGATGGAGTAGCAGGCTTCCTGCCCGTCCGTGTGCCCACACACCTCATGTCCTAAAAGATGTGCCAGCCTCATTCCTCCAAATGAGGTACACAGTTCATTCATCAAATTATGGAGACTGCTCTCTGAGAACGTTGATGGTCTTTGATGCCTTTGAACTCTCTTCTCAAAAGGAGCCTCTTTCAAAGATAGAGCTCAGGACACGACTGCATTCTTCTCCCAGAGTGTCTCAGGCAGGATTGCAGAAGGCTTAATATAGAATGGTATGCCTGGAATTAAGCAAAGGGGCTTCTCAAGGCGAGGGCTCCTGTGGTGACCAAGCCTTTGACTTCAGTGGAATGAGGAGCCTCCTGGCCTTTTTTGTGAACCTTACGTAAAGCCTCTCAAAATACTGGTCTGAAAGGAAATCAGAGACAGATCTCAGAGGTTAGAGTGGGTGTGCATGTTTCTAATTCATCTTTTTTTTTTTTTAATTCACAGTGTGCACACAGCTCTTGGTCTCCAGACCTGATGAGGAAAATATAAGTTCCTATTTACAGCTCATAGACAAGTGTCTAATTCATGAGGTGAGTAGGAATGGCTTTCACAAAACTGTTTTTCTCCTTGCTTAGAAATGGTTCTGAGAGTTTCTGGGATGTGATCACTTGGGTCTCCCGACAACTTGTTTTCGAAGGGTAGACGGGCATTAATAATAGCCTGGGCAGAACCAGTTTGAAGCTATGGCTTCACACCTAAGCATGGCGTGTATATGACTTTGGTGTCGAGATTAGACTGAGCTCTGAAGTGAGGGCGAATGCCCGAGATACTCCTGACTCTGGAACAATCCCTGAGTGACCGAGCCTGAGGTGGTTAACACGCACCCCTGCCACCTAGCTTTGGTGTCTTCAAGTCCTTTTAAAATTTTGTGTTGAAACGTTTTGTCTTTTGGCTCAGGGAAAGTTGAGGCAACGTGGAAAGTGTGCAAAAAAAAAAAAAAATCATGGGCTTGTGGGTCTGTTGTGTGTGGTCTGATTTGTGATTTTTATAGGAATTGTGTTGAGCCACATGCCCTTTTGAAGGAGAACTGAGACCACGGTGCTGGAGGCGTTCCCATTAGACTCAGTGCGAGTGCAGTCTTCCTGATGGGGAGACCAGGTGCAGGTGCCCTGAGACACATGTGGGGACAGGGGATTGTGTCTCAGACCCAAGACCGCGGTGGCTTCTGGGGAGCACCCCCTCTGAAGAGTCATAGAGACAAGAGTCACAGTGTGGACTTTGGATAAACTTAACAGCACTGAGGTCTTTCTGTGGGATTTTAATGTTAGAGTAAGATGGCAAAGGCCCCCAGGTCTCCTCACCTTTGCCAGGTTAGCAGCCTGAGCCCCAGAAGTGCAGTGGGGCCCCAGTGAAGGGAAACACCTGGCACAGAGGTCTGTCCCCACCCTTATCCACCACCCTGCTCACACTGCCCCCATCCCGCCAGCTGCCACACAGGCCCATCTGTCAAAGGCGAGTTCCTGGGACCCTACTCTTCTGCAGTCTGACGTCCCACCCCTCATGTGCAGGTTTTGGTCTCCTTCTGGGCTTCCTTCCCATCCACTGACCCACAGTCCCCTAAACTCTCCTTTTTGCCGTTTCCTCTCTCCGCAGTGCAAATTCTCACGTCCCTCTCCCCAGCCCCCAACTCACTCCTTGCTGTTTTCCATCCTGACACCCTACTTGTTTTGGCCAGCAAAAAGCAACAGGGAGAAGAGAAGGCAAGAACATGTTGAAGAATTTTAGAACTCATTCATTCCACAGATCTTTATTAAGTGCCTAGACCCCGTCCCTGACTATGTAGCGTATGGTGTGCGGGTAGCAGGGGAGACAAAAGGAAACCAGCTCATCACATACATGAGGATAAGGCTGTCCTGGCATCCCACGGGGCCCAGATGAGGAGCGAGGCCCCCAAATCCAGAACCGGAAATGGCTTTTCCCCAGAGGAACTGTCTCCAAGCTAGATCTGAAAGTCTTAGGGGTAAGGACTCCATACCGAAGGAGGTGGGAGTACTCCAGGCAGAAAGAAAAGCATTTGAAGAGCTCTGTGTCTTACTGGGGAGGAGTAGGTTTGGAGTGGGTGGGTTTGGAGGGGGAACTGATCAGGGGAGGATTTAAGCTTTTCTGTAAAGCAGCTAGAACCTTGCATCCTCTCCCTTGCCCACACTCACACCAAACCTTCAAGCTACGGGACGACAAGTTACAAGTTACTTTCCACCTTGCCTCAAGTCTGCTGAGCCCACAAGACAAAATAATGAGCCCTCCAGCTGCCTCTGTTGGACAGTGCACAAGCTTCCTAATTGGCCTCCGCCAGCCCCAAAGCTGTGGCCTGACGCTTCTCACTTTCCTGCCACTGTGCATGGCCTCCTTGGGCAGCCTGGCTCTCTCTTCCACTTCCTTAGAATATTTAGAAAATGCCTAGGTTTTTTTTCTCCCTATCTGCCCAAGTGATTAAATGCAGACATGGCACCGTGGGGACTCATCTGCTGCCTCGATTATAGTAGAGGGACCTGTGGCTGCTGGGAGTCCTGGGCTGGAAGGAGCTTATGCTATGTCTCTTTGCCTGAATTCATGTCGGGGTGGAGGGGACAGCACTCTGCTTTGGAAGGGAAAATGCTGGGCAAGACCTTTTATTATTATTTTAGTTCAAGAAAGAGGAAATGTGTCTGAATAATTTTCCACAGGCTTGGGTTATTCTGCTGGGCAGAACACACCCTCCCTGTGAGGCCCTGTCGAGCCACGCGGTCTCCATCCTGGCTGAAGTTTCACCTGGGCTCCGTGAAACAGGACTCCCTTTCACAGCCCGAATGCGCCATTCCTTACCTGACCGGATGGGAGAGTGCTGACCAAACCTAGACACCTTCCTTCCTCCCCAGGGACAGAGGGACCAACTCCCTACAGTAACAGAAGGGAGGACAGGAAAGCTCTGAATTTCATTTCTGATACCAGTCACTTTGTCTCCTGCATTATAAACCCTGGCTTCTTGCCTCCTCATTGTCTCCAGGAGGTTCTGCAGAGATGAGTTCTTGCCTCTTTTCTGAGACTTTAAATCTAGCCACAAAAGCTATGGGGCACACCCTCGCCATCTTCTTCCAGACAGACTCAATGGTTTGACCCTGATAGTGACACAGGACTCGGAAGTGACTGACTGGCTATGTCAGTCTGTATACTATGGAGGCTTCCTTCCCCTCCAGTCCCTGAGGAAGCTGCTACCAGCCCAACCCAGAGCTGCCAGTGGAATGGCTGAGGTCAGGTGTCAGCCATCCCAGGGGATAGAGCTCCCACAATGGAGGGCTACTTTGTAGACACATACACAGAGACCAGCTTTGGGAAATCACTCATTGCCACCCATGACCTAGCTCCCCTCCATGCCTCCCAGCTGCAGCCTCTAGGACTGAGAAGAAGTGGCCACCACACTCACTCAGCGTGGCTAAGGGGCTTGATTCTATCTGCGACCCAGAACTAAATGATGGCCAGTGTTGAGTGAATAGCTGACCTCTCTGGGTTGTGGGCGGTTATAAATATTTCCATCTTCTTGGATGTTGTCTGCTACCATGGGAGATGTCATCTACGTACCAGTGTCCTTGGAAGCACTTTGGATGTGCGTCTATACAGTAACCCATTTCCTCCTTTGTCACTTGGAAACTCAGGCCAGCTGTCCTTCAGGCTGGCCCTAGACCAGCTCACTATTATAGTTTTGAGAACTTGAAGTCATTCAAGTTGGGGCTAAAGGTGACTGTTGAATACAATATGTGACAAACATTCGTATACCACCACCAAAGGACTGGTCTGCACAACCGAAAAAACCCTGGTTAGAGTATCTATGAGCAGCAGTTATTGAACCATTACTAAGAGCCTGGCATGTTCTAAGTATTCTAATTGCATTTTGTGTATTGCCCCATTTAATCCTTACATCTTTTTAGGGAGATATTATTATCCTGGGTTTTTAGAAGAAACCGAGTCTCAGGTGAAAGGAGCTTGTATAAGGGTCTTCAGGGATTCAAACCCTACCCATAGCCATGCAGAGCCTTCTCCAACCAACTGGGCTAGCCTCTCCTCGCCAAGTCATCTTGATCAGTGCACCTGCATCCTGTGTCCTCAAACTTTAGCAGAATAAGCCAGTCAAAAGCAGAATCTATCCATCCCTTTCTTTATCTGTCCCGCAGCGATACTTACCTTTCAAGTTTTCAGAGACATTCATGTATAGTTGGACACTCACCAAGCATTGCCAGCAGATGAGAAGGGACCACAGAGTAGAACCATGTCCTTACCTTGTAACCATGAGACCATCCTACCATGTACCTTAAGCAGTGTCTGCACCCCTTCAATGAAGCATGGACTCATTGGGTTGGGTAGCCCTCCTTGGTGAATATCCTTATATGTGTCTGGCTAAGGTCATCCAGGAGAAAAGGGTTTGCAAGTCAATAATTTTTTCACAATATAACTAATATCTTTTTGCTTTTTTGTTCACATAGCTCTCCTGTGTTTAGGTCCTTAAAGATTAAATGTCATCTGGAGAAAATTAAGCTGTCATTTTTTTCTGTTTAAGGAATCTGTTTCCTTTATGGGAAGTAGTCATATAGTCTGCTACTCTAAGTAATAGCTTATTGCTACTTAAAGGATTTTCTGTCTTATTAACAAAACTACATGGGTATGTTATCTCCATCATTGTTACTGCTAATCAGTCAAAGCTGATGGGTCTCCCACAGAGTGTGGCCTACAGTTCTAGGCTCCTGACAGGGGATTACTATATTGCACATGGAGTCCTCAAACCGTCTAGAATGCCAAATATCCATGTTCTATCTGCAGCAGAATTACCAGGGCACTTGTTGCAAACATCGCCTAACCTCCTCTCCAGACCTCTCAAAACAGGCCCTAGGTATGTGGGAAGGGGTCTTGGTCTTCTTGAGGGATTCTAATATAACACAGATTTGAGTGTCTCTGCCTTGGGGACTCATAACCTCTATAAAGTCTTCCCCTGGGCTTCAGCATACACAAAAGAATGCATAATACAGAAGACAGTGTGTTATGAAGCGGGCAAAACGCCCCCTCAATGCCAATTTTACTAAAAAGGATTTGAGAAAGCATCAGATCTACTGGTTTTCCTAAACTTTAAGCAAAATTTAGGTCAAGATTGGTGTACTGGGGTTTTTTCCTTAGGGGACAGGACCCCTTAACTGGGGATTTCTCAGCAAAGCCCTATGCCCTACAAAAACCCCAGTGCACCACTCCTGATGTATATAGCACAGCACAGCACAGCATAGCATAGCAGAGACTATACTCCATTTTCTGAAACCCTGCAGGCCACTCCAGGGTGACCACACACCATCAAGCAGATTGATTATTTTTGGAGTGGTTTAGCATTTCCATTGATTATGAAAACGTAGGGAGCCTGCAAAAGCCAGAGTATTTAACAATCCATTTAGCAGTTCATTCCTGGTGAATCTGTAGAGTCCAGAGTGGAGTCCGGAGGAAGGGGAAGGTGAGTGTGGACCTGTCAGAAATGCAGCCAAAAGCCAGGGTTGCCAAAAGCTTAATGCATGCACCTTACCAGGCACCTCCACTGTCAAATAACTTTAATTGTCGGTACAGGTGGCTCCCAAGTGAAACTGACTGCCATCAGGATCAGGTAGGGAGCAGGTGAGGAAAAAGCGACTGCAGAGACTCCGATGTTCCCCCTATTAATCGCATGTTTCTCCCTCTAATGCCAGGCTGCGCCACCCATTAAAAAGTCCTGTTTGTTTTTGCAGGCATTTACAGAGACTCAGAAAAAAAGATTGTTGTCATGGAAACAGCAGGTGCAGAAGCTCTTTCGGTCTTTCCCTCGGAAAACCCTCCTAGACATATCAGGATATCGACAGCAAAGAAAGTATGTTGTGATTTCATTCTTCTTAACGCACGGTGGGTGCCTGTGCATCACTGCCTGCCTGGGCTCCTGGGCAGGACTATGGCACCCTGGTCCACAAGGGTGCCCTGTGGGGAGCTGGAGATGCCACTCCTTAAACAGGTGGGGTTGGGGAAAGCCTATGGAGAGAAAGCATCCCCAGAAAAAGAACTGAACATGATCTTTTGTAACTCAATTTACCTGATCAGAATGATGGTATTAGTCCAGATGGGCAACGAGGGGAGATGGGTAGGATTTAATAAATGCTTGCAAAACACGTGGTGGTTTAGCCACAACAGGGGGCCCTGAAAGGACAGAAATGGGTTGTTCTATCAGCACCTTACAAGGTAGTGTCATTTTTTTCTCCCTTCTAGCTGCAGACTAGCTAATTATAGTTGGTGGCGGGGTGAAGAGCCCAGTGCTGGTCTATTTTGGTCTGAGCTGCAATCTAAGAGTGGAGCAGTACCATTCTTGATTTTTCATAGTACTTCAGCTTCTTGGATGCAGTTAAAAATAAGCCTCGTTGTACTTTAGAACCCATTACCTTAATCTGGTTTTAAATTGAAGAATCCAATTGCATATTAAAGGCGAATTACAGTGACAATTCAGGGGGAGAATCGGGGGGGTTGGGGGTAAAGCCTTCTACAGTGACAGGGAGTTGGGGGGAGACAAAAGACTGATGGTACAAACATCCTGAAAAATCAACTTTCTATTTTACATTTTTAAACATGAGCAGATAGTTTTTTCACTTGCACCTAAAAAGTTCTGAATTCATTTCTTCGTGTATATATAGAGAAGCTCTGTGTTGTTAAAAATTTTGGCATTTATTTGCATAAGTGTGCCTTAAAACATCACTGTTTTACATTATTTAAGGGAGATAAGGATAGTTGGGGTTTACGAAGTTTTCATTAAGCATTAATGTAAAAATTGAAGTGTCATCACATTCTAGCATATATAACACCGTTATTTATTAAACAAACATTTAGTACTATGTGCCAAGTGGTATCCAAGCATTTTAGGAGTATTAATACGTTTAATCCTTGCAACAACCATATGAGGTAGAGTTGCTATTATTAAATTGAATTTACAGAGGAGTCTGTAGGCAGTGGTGTCCAGAACTTGGACCAGGCAAGCCAGCACTAGCTGCAGAGTCAGTGCTCTTAACCACTTTTCATGCCAGGCAGCTCTCACAGTCTCCAGCTGATGTGCAGAAAAAACAATCAGGAAGAGCAGCCCTCTTTACGGCAGCTCCCTGTCTCCAAGCTCTCTGGGGCTGCCCTTCCTGGCAGGATGGACTGGACCAGCTGTGCACCCTGAGGATTCCCAGGGACCCAGGTGAAAGGCAAGGCCTGCTCATAGGCCTCTCAACCCCGGGGACTGCCCCCTTCCCAGGCTCGCGCTCTCTCCTTGTAAGGGCAACCGTGCCTCTCAATCGAGAGGATGAGGTTCCAGACCCCTCTTGCAACACCAGGCCCTTAGGAAACAAGTTCCAAGGGGAAGAAGGACTTCAGAGGATAAAGATAAAGATAGAGCTTTTAAGCTGCTTGGCTCTCTCAAGACTGTCATCCCCTGCCTCTGTTCGGCTTTGTCCTTGGTCCATATGAGAGTTCCCAGTAACCCTGGCCTCTCTAGGGTGTTATTAACTAACGTTTGTCTTGGCCTATCCAAGGTTTGCTGTATTGGAATCTTGATGGACCTGTTTGTATTGATTAGATAAGAATAAGTTAAGTCAATTGTGGACATTCAATTGGAAGTTGCCAAGGCTCTAGAAAATAATTTGTTCTCATATTTATTACGTCTGGGATCTTTTTATGCTATTTATTTGCTTTGAAGACCTGTTCCTCCCATAGTACAAAGGTAACTGCAGCCCAGCCCCTGCTTGAATTATCACAAATCCCAAATTAATTTGTTCTTATTAATGTTATTTTCTCAGCCTTTTCACGCATTTCAAGGTAATGAAATCAGCTGGTTAGATTTAGGAAAGCAGAGATGGGCAGAGCAAAAGAATGAGGAATGAATACTTACTTGTGTCACTTTGTTCTCTCCCCAGAGAGGATGATTATGTCATTAAGCCTAGTGGTCTTAAGTAACCTAAGTATTTACTCTGGTTGCCAGAAGTGGCAGCCCTCAACAACTCTGGCTTTGAAATAACCAACTAAGGATGTCACAGTAGGGCCCCCCAGACATTAGAACGATAGCCTGGCCAAATTCTGCCCCCTCACCTGTCCTGACCCCAAAATGTTCTGGGCTCTACCTGCTGCATACAGCCCAACTCCTGCATCCTAACTTAAGGAGTCCCTTAGAGCCCTCCTTTCTTCAGTGACTGAGTGTCCCATAGCAGAAGCCTCTGCCCACATTGCGCAAGAACATAGTCTTGCCTTCCTGGAAGCACAAATCATTTTAGCATCACTCATTGACTACTGTACTTTGCATATGAAATAACTTTTTAAAAATCCAACCCAAAAGGAAAATGAGCAAAAAAGCTATCTGTACTAAATCAGGAAAAGTGTTAGAACACTGAATCATCCAGCAGGTGGCCAATATTCCAACCCTAAAAACCAAAGGACTAGTTTTCATAGTTTAAAACAAAAACAACCACTTGCTCCTCGTTTCCACCTGTCATGGATCTCAGACTGTCCTTCTCAAAGGAGGTCTCCTAGATCGTGTGAAATTACTTGTATCCCCACAAGGCCCAAATTTCTTCTTTCAAACCAAAAAATGTTAATGCTAGTAAAAAAGAAAGAGGTGGGAAAGGATGAGCTAGATACCTAGAACCCATGAGTGTCCTTCTTACCACATATAGATGAGCCCCTAACAGAAATCAGGAACCTTTTCCTTGGCCACAAAAACCTGGAAGTGGAAAGACTCAAGGCCAGAGATCAGTTGTGGCCAGCTCACCCGTGGAATTCTCTTCCCCACCCCCTTTCCCCCTAGGAAATTTAGGCATTCTGGGGAGAAAGAGAAAGCATTTTCTGAGACCTACTGTGCTGATGGCTTAGATGCCCCTCTCCACCCCCTCCCCACAACCCTCTTTCTCAGGAAATGACTGTTTTGCAGCACCCCTGCCCCCAATCATCTTCAGCCGGTTAAACTACGTCAGCCCTGTCTCCCGGAGTCTCCTCACAGGTTTGGTACAGACCTCCCCTGTCTGGCTGGGAAAGCAAGTCTGTTCCATCTTGTGGCCGTTGGAGGTAAAGCACTGTGAGTTAAACACCAGTGAATGACTAAAGCTGACTCCTCTTGGAAGGAATGTGCTGTTTCTGAAACCCTACTGGCTGCTGTGTACCCTCCCAGAACCTGAGGCATGTTGGAGACGATGAGTTCTTGGGCGCTGAGGTCACTGGAGCAACGGCAGCACAGTGTCCAAGTGCAATGCCACGGGTCCCTGGCGGCCTACCTAGGTCCATGTGGGAAAGCACGCAACCTCCCGGTCTTCCTGCAGGAAGGGTCTGTGGAGCGGGGAGCTGTCAGCATCCTAGGTCCGGAGCGCTTCCAAACATCATCATCGCTGTTCTTCTTCCCTCTCTCAACCTGGGAGGCAAGCCCCAGACGTGGGATCAGCTTTTCCACAGGGAGAAGCATCGTGAGGACAGAGATTCATTTATTCATTCAACCTGCCTTTGCTGTGCCGGGAGGTGACTCAGGCATGGGACGTGCAGGACTGATGAGGACAGACGCCACGTTTTCTCTCTTGGAGCCTATGTCCTAGTGAGGCTCACAGGCTCCTGTCTCTACGTGTGCCATACAGACAGACATCAGAGAGACTTGGGAGGGTGATGGAAGGAGCACTGATCCTGGCTCGGCGGCTTCTGTGCCGGGTGGCTTCTCGATGGGCCCGGGAGTCCAGCATGGAGGAAAGCTGGAGAGCACGTTGGTTAACCTTAGACTCCTAGTGCAGCCCTGTCGCCTGCTGCTTGTGTGACCTTTGCAAAAGTGTTAAGCTCCCTGTTTTATTTCTCCAGCTGTGAAAGAGGATGGAGCACCCACTTCATAGGCTTGTCGTGAGAACTGAAGAATTAACGTGGTAGTCCCAGGACAGTGCACATGATAGTCACTCTCAGATGTCTCTTAGCTGTCACTTTAATCATAGCCCTTTCCTGGCACAGAACCACCCCCTGCCCCCTAGATAGACTTCATAACTGTCAAAATGTAAGCAGGTTCCAAGGAGGCATCCCACTGGCAACCTGGGCTTTGGGAAGGGCTAAAGGGCGACTGACAGTCTCTCCATTCTTCTCTGTTCCCTGTCACAGTCGCGGCTTTGGGCAGTCCAACTCCCTCCCGACAGCCGGCTCTGTGGGCAGTGGTATGGGCAGACGGAACCCACGCCAGTACCAGATCCCCTCCCGGAACGTCCCTTCCGCCCGCCTTGGCCTCTTGGGTACCAGTGGATTTGTCAGCTCCACCCAGCGCAACACCACAGCCAACCCCACCATCATGAAACAGGGGAGACAGGTTTGTTCTGCCCCAGGAAGAGGGTGGGCGGCCAAACACAGGCCCTGAGGCTTCAGGACCTACCCCCACATGACCCCAAGGTGAGCGGAGAGGCCAAGGGAGGCCACAGTAAGATACAGGTGTCCCTGTGCTCAGAGGGAACCAGCTGTTTGCACTGTTTCCCTGGGAGACACAGCAATTACATGGCTGCACCTGCTTCGTGTTGACTTAACTTAGGATACCCTATAACCACGTTAACCTTTAACTGTGTGGGCCCTGCACATGGGGCCTTTAGGAAGCAATGCAAGACCTATCCTTTATTTGCCTGGCTCCTTTTCCTGCCCCAGCAGACCTCAACACCTCCCAGATCTGGGTTCCAGAGGAGCTGGAGCATCTAAGGAGCTCCTCAGCCTTTTTACTCGACGGATAGCTCCTCTGTCACGGTCCCAGCTGTGGTGGAGAATCCAAAGAGGAGCCTGAGAGAGGCTACCAGAGGGAGAACTGGAACATTCTCTGCCTGTTCAAGGCCAGGCTGCCCAGAGGTCTTTAAAATGGGATATAGAGCTGACTTCTGTCCCAAGGCTCCTCGCCCCCCAGTCCTGCTTCCCTACCCTGCCCAATGCATTCCACCCGGGTGCCCAGCTCTGTGGGGCTCTGCAGGTTGGGGCTGGGACTGGAGGGACACACTTGGGCCTGGGTTGTCATGAGAAACTTAGGGATGATAGATCGGTTTAAAAACAGGAAAACAGCTCCAGGCAAGATGGGCAACATTTACTCCCTAGACGACAGGACAAGGTATGAGAAAGCCCCACTATCTGACTGTTGTGGGAAGCCCCAAATCAGTTCAAGAGGAAGTCACCACTAGGACACCCGCATAATAATAAACGCAAGCTCAGTGTGCCAGCTCGTTGCCAGCTGAAAGATTCTTTTTTCTCCCCCTCGCTTTGTAGTAAGTTGTAAGAATCTCAAAAGGAAAATCAAATGAGAGCCTTGAAATAGTTTGTGCTCTTCGTTGCAAACATTTATAGAACTCTTCCGATCCCTGAAAAAAGTGATAGGAAAAGCAGAGGCAACAAAAGGAATAAAAAGAGTTTTGGAGATAGGGAGAGAGCAGTCCAGATTAAGCTGGGGCTTAGAGAGGCCTGGGGCTTGGAGAGGGGGATAAAATGAATGGAATCTAAACCCCCTCTCTATAAATATGCAGAAGGGTAGCACTGGCCTGCAAGCCCTTTTCCAGAAGTTAGCAAAGAGTTTTCCAGGGGTATTTGCCTCTTGAATTCTGGCCGGTGGCCCTGCTCCGCACCCCCTCCCCTGTCTGGACTAATGGTTCCCCCTTCGTGTTTCTCATTAGAACCTCTGGTTTGCCAATCCTGGGGGCAGCAACAGCATGCCAAGCCGCACCCACAGCTCAGTCCAAAGGACCCGCTCGTTGCCTGTGCACACTTCTCCACAGAATATGCTGATGTTCCAGCAGCCAGGTAGGGTCCTGCACTTGATCTCTCCCTCTCACCTCCCCCTGACACAGGGGAGGCCAGGACGCCAAAATAGATGGCCCTGTGAACCCAGCCGGAAAGTGCTTAGCCTCGACTGTCACCACGCATTCTTTTGAGCTTATAGAAGCCTTTCCTTTTTTAAACTGTGCCTTGCCAGCATGAATAGCGGCTGGTTGGCTGGGAGCCAGCACATGGAGCCCCAGAGTCAGTTGCAATCTGACGGGGATATTTTTGATACTAGTCATATTTCTAGATTGATTAAACCAGAGATATCACTAGATGGCTATTTGGGGGAGTTGGGAGGGGTTCCATGTGTAGTGTGTGTGTGTGTGTGTGTGTGTGTGTACTTTGTGTATATGTGGGGGGATGTGCAGGTTTGAGACAGAGAACTTGACAGCATTTGGCACTAAGAGCCTTACCCCTGGTTTGGGAGTGTCTTGCAAACATTACTGGACCAGCCATCTTCCCTTTACTTGGTTAAAGAACAACTTGCTGCACTTCAAGTCAGTTGCACCTCTCACCACGTGCCTCCTAAAACAGAGCAGCCAGGATCATGCAGAGACCACAATTGCTTGCACACTTTGTCTATGCAGACAGTGACCTCTTAAGACTCCATGAGTCCTATAAAGCCTTGCAAGCAATTACTATATCTAGCTAGGTGACTTCTAGGCGGGAAAATCCGGAACGGGTGTCATGCCTGTAGAAAAATACCCACCCTAGTAGACACGCTCTGTACAATACGTCTGGAATTTTAAGGAGACGAAATGTCGCTGTGGCCTGGGTGGGCAAGACAGCTTCTTAGAACTGGAGCTGAGCTTCAGGTGACACGGGGTGAAGAAGTGAAAAGAGGACGGTGGAGTTGCAGGCAGAACGAGTGAAGGGAGCAAGACTGCAATTGTATCAAGTATCTCAGTGAGTTCCAGAAGCCGTGGCTGAGTCAAAGGGTCAGACTGAAGTAGCAGAGAGTAGACCAAGGGGGCTGGAAGGATAACGGCTGATGATGAGGGCTCTGAATCCAAGGCCAAGGAGCTCAGACCCCAGCTACTCTCAGTGTGGCGTGTATGGAAGATTTTGAGCAGGTGTGTGCCTGGAGGAGGTGGGGAGACACTGAGGAGAAAGGGGAAGTGAGAAGCCACCACAAGGTAAGGTGTGTCAGGAAAGGATAATGATCCAGATGCTTGTTTGAAGTTGCTTCTTGACTTCTAGAACCTTTGCTATTTGCACACTTTTGTTTTAAAGCTCCTTTTCTCTGTTTTGATACTTGTACCTTTCTGGGAAGAGATATTTGCTAAAATTTAGGGACTCTAAAGGTGGTCTCCCTAGGTCATTTGGTCCCAGTCTCTGTTTTGGTGCAGACTTCTATGTAATCCATTCCCAATGAAAGAGAATCTAGACAATATTTGGAGACATTCTGGCTTACAAGGAGATCTTTCACCCTGACCGCAGTCCTGGCCTAACCCGGCCACCTTACAGCCTCACGGGAGCCCTAGCATAGCTGACCACTCTCCTCCTTCAGTCCAGATACACTTGTAGCCTCCTTGCTCCATTCTAACCTCTTACTGCTTCCTTTGGTCTCTTCCAAGTCCTCAGTCCTTTCCCACATTCTCCCTGTCTTAACTGGGAAGACCGGGCCTACCAGAAGAGTCGGCCATCTTCCATCCCTAGGAAGCCTGTTTGAGTCTGTAGATACAGATCCTCCATCTACATTTGTGTTTCCCCTCGGCTGTTGCACAGCAGTTCTGAGCTGCTTGCTCGTGCTCAGGGCACCTGTGACCCTAAGATCATTTGTACCCTCTTCCCATGAAGCCTGTTGTTCCCAAAGTTTAAAAATCAAATAATACAGGAGAGCTTTTAAGGAAAAGTGACTGCCCCTTTCCCCTCCCCCTCCCAGCCCACAGTCTCCTCTCCCAAAGGCAGCCACTTATAATGATTTTCAGTTTCCCCGGTAATTAACCCGAAAGTCTCTAAATAATGTCCTTTGGATGCTGCACCTAGAATTCCAGAACCTGCTTGGGGATTATTTTTTGGAAAGGGGGGATTAAATTAGCCTCTAGCACAAGCATCACAAACCCACTTCCAGCAAGGCCCTGATGAACCCCAGCATTTCTAATAACAGCCAAGGCATGGGGACAGGGCTTCTCCAGATTTCCTGATTGCAAATACACTGGTGAGTCCTGGGCAGGGGCCACTCCTAAGTCCTGACTAGCACACTCCTCGCATGCTGGGTGGCTCTTCCGGGGACATGGTCATGAAGGGTGAGTCAGGGCACAGCCATGACTCAGGATCCCTGGCTAAAGGGAACAGAAGCTGCAGAAAGTCACTGCCATGGGCACAGGGATGCTGCTCCTCAGTCTCCTAGGTCATCCCTGCCCCTTACAGATCAGATACTGGTTTTCAAGACCACAAGTCGTGACCAGAACTCTCTGCTTCTTCCAGAGGAGACAGCCTCCTTCACAGGGCAGGCCCACCTAACCACCACAGCCAGGCCTGGACAAAGTTGTCCTAGATAGACAGGGTCTCTCAGAGATGGGCCCTTCCACTCAAAGCAGCACATCCTTGTTAACTAGCCAGGGATCTAGGGGCTGGTGGCCAAGGCGGCAGGATTAAACTACAAGTGTCATATCAAGGAGTCAAAATCTGAAAAGCAGCAAGTAGCTTTCATCTTTACACAAGTGGTAGTAGTAGTGAGCACAAATGGAGTAGAGATGTATAACCAACCCCAAATTAAATACTCAGAAAACTGTGTTTACAGTACAGCATAGTGGCTTCCACCTGGCCATGAGAGGTCTTCAGAGCATCCATTTTAAACCATATGGGTAAATCTCGGAAACTATAAGACATTCTAATAAAGTTTTGATTCTGTAAACTTAAATACGTCCTTTAAAATGGTAGAAGACTTTAAATGTCTCCAAAGTCTGGGGCCTACAACAAGCACCCAAGTTTTTTTATCAATTGACCAGCCATCTGGCTTGAATCTGCAAGACAATGTCTTCTTTTCTGGATCTACAGGATTTGTGGATCCCTAGGAGGCCATGTCAGGGGTGGTTTTTTTAATGTATTCCCACATAGACAGATTTTAGATGTTTCCCAGGACAAACCAGGAGAGCCACTAAGTGACTGCTGCCTCTCAATGGCCTCTGGCATAAGTAAGTAGCACTAAGCTGGTCCTCTCAGAGCAAGGGGCAGAGGGTCTGATAAACTCACCAGAGGGGTGGCTTGAGCTCAAAACAAGTGTGGTGCCTGGTGAATGATGTCATGTTTCCCCAAAAAGCAGGGTGTTTTCCAAACTGAAAAATGAGTTTGGAAATTGCTCGGAGAATGATTACCTTCTCTTGGAAGCAGATCTGTTCCTGCTCACCCCGGCTCAGCCAACCCTTGGGAGCCAGTCAGAGAGGATCTCACAAGAGCCCTGGTGCGACACTAGGCCATAAACCCTCCTAGCCACCCGGAGGGCCTGACAGAGAAGGGCAGAGGAACCAGAAGCCAACTTTAAAGGAAAAGCAGGGCAAAGGGTAGGCTGGGAAGCCTCACAGAACTACGTTCTGGGGATCTCTTCCTTCTCTTGCACAAAACCATATGCAAACTACCATTGGTGCTGGACGGCCCAGATGGGAGATGAATAAGGTGCCTTACATGGCAGCATTTCGTGGTGTGACGTATCTGTTCACCACAGCCAACATCCCCAGCTCTGGACTGGATCTCTTCCACGATGAGAATCCAGGTGCACACCTGGAGGCACAGTGCACAAAGCTGTTATCATTCATTTCCTCCTTGGTGTGAGTTTCACATTCCTCCCAGAGAATTGCCTTTTGTTTATTTAAAAAAAATTTTTTTAATGTTTATTTATTTTTGAGAGACAGAGAGAAACAGAGCACAAGCAGGGGAGGGGCAGAGAGAGAGGGAGACACAGAATCCAAAGCAGGCTCCAGGCTCTGAGCTGTCAGCATAGAGCCTGACACAGGGCTCGAGTCCATGGACTGTGAGATCATGACTGGAGCTGAAGTTGGATGCTTAACCGACTGAGCCACCCAAGTGCCCCGAGAACTGCCTTTTGAAAGGGTGGAGAGAGGGAGAGTACCATCCATGCACTAGTTCCATTAGGGGATGGGAGGGGCTGCCATGCAGAGGAAGACACCAGAACAGGGACCCACTTAAAGTACCTGATGAATATTTGCCCCCTGACTTCTAGTAAGCCAAGGCGAGTCTTGCTCAGGACTGACAGATAATAGGTAGGGAGGTTGGTAAATGAATCCGTTCTATCACAGCCAAGAACCCAGCTGGGCTTGTGCTCTCCTGCCTCTGAAAGTTAAACTCAGAGAGACCAATCCGGGGCTAGATAGTACAAAATTGTCTTCTACCATATTCTCCTCGTCCTTTTGCATGAAAGTGTGGGTCCCAGAGGATTTCCACAACACAGACTTCTGCAGGTTTAGGAATTAGGCCACCAGAGAAAAGCTTCATTCCCCATACCAGACTCAGGTATGACGGACTTACTCCTGTTCTTCCGTCACCCACCATGACCACCTCTGCGATGATCAATGTGGCTCTGTTTCCTTGCCCACACTCATTTCTTTTCCTTCTGTTACCGCCCTCCCCTTTCTGCTTGGATCCCATCTTCCCTGTTTCCCTTTCTTCCTTCCTTCCCTTATCCAGTCTGGACCCCACTTCTCCACCCTCTGTCCCATCCTTGTCAGTCTCCCCGATTTCTCTCTTAACTTGAAGCCTTCCTAGTTATTCAACAGGTAGTCTTAGCTATCATCGGCCAAGTGGGATTCTAGAGGTTTTTCCTAGAATACTCCATTTATTATTCTAAAGTGCTAAAGACATTGGCCTCTTTACCTCAGCCTCGGGGACTGGGAGTGAGCTGCAGAATTGCACCATAGGGGCCACGTAGGGGACACTCAGCTGAGGTGGCTGGTTTCTGCCAAAGAAAAGCCATTTGGGGGGCCCCCTCTTGGTGGACCCAACAGCAGCACTCCATTAGGAATGGGTGGCTGCTCCCTTCCGGAATCTTCTTGACCCTGGGCCTGAGCACTAGGCTCTATACCTGTGGAACTTCTGGAAAGGCACAATTACAAAGTCTCAGGTCAGCCTAAACCCTGAGCATCCCTCACTGAATACTGGAATGATCTGATGGTCAGAGGAAAAATTCCTAGTTCTTAGAGATGTCGCCTGAGCTAAGGAAACAGGCCTGTTGCAGGCAACAGCAGAAAAGGCTTAGTCTTTCCTTTTTGCCTTATTGAAGGCATAAAGCTATGTCTGCCTGGTCCGTTACAGCTGGGGGCCCAGGCTAAAGGCAGTGAGCCCGTGGGGTCAGCAGCAGACCCAGCAAGAGCTGGCCTGCTCATTCTTGTGGCCCCGGGTGGCAGGAGCTGCCCAAATCCTTCTCAGGCTGTAAGAGCTCGGCCCACCAAAGCCACACTTGGCTGAGGGCTTCTAGCCTGAGATGGAAGCTGTTACCCACCCAGCTGGTCTCCCTCTGTCTTGTATGTGTGGGGGGATGCCATGGATCTGTTTTTATCAAATACACAATTAAAAAGTCACACTATTAGGAAACTCTGGAGTGTGAACATATGGGCTTTTCCCGAGACTTAGAATTTTTCAGAGCCACTCTGGGAGCGGTGGGCGGCGGGGGGGGGGGGGGGGGGGGGGGTCATGACACACTAGCGCACCAGGGGGAAGAGCTGAATGATAAAAAGAACCATGCCAACTTTCAACCTAAAAGAGCAGCCACTAAGGTTTGGAGATTCTAGAGTGGAGAGCCCCGCATTTCTCAGCCCCCTTTTCTGAACACTCAGTCCTAGGCTTGGAATATGGCATTTTGCTGCGTGTTGGCAAGAAATCTTGCAGCTGAAACACTTCTCTCCAAATGTCGAGCATCTTTATTTATCCAAATCTCTCCACAGTGTTTGTTTAAAGGGGAGTGCTAGAGAGTAAACTAAATTTTACAATGAGCATATGGATGGATATAATTGCTAAGGGTTTTTTTTTTTCATATTTGCTAACTGGCTATATATAAAACTGTGTTTCTATTTTATAGATTTCACACCCTGAAGGCTGCTAATTTTGCATGCATATGATTTTCACATGAATGGATGAAAATACTAAAATACTCTTCCCTCTGGATTGTCTAATTGCCCCGACCCTACTCTGAGAGCAACAGCGGGTGGGGTGGGAAAGACCCTTCAATTCTCCCTGGCTCCCAGTTTCCCAGGAAGCCCGATTGTCCTCTGTCTGCTCACAAATTGGCACAGTTGCCTTTCAAACCCATTGATGCTGGCTGGCACTTGTGTGAGAAAGAACCCTATCTGCTCCCCGGTGCTTTTCATATTGATCCATTTTGCCCGTCTACTCTGAGAATTTTAAACAACGGAAATGACATCTGCCTCCGAATTAGCCGGTAATGGGGAACACAGATTGCAGAGAAAATCTAAATGTATAGCTAATCAAGGAAAACAAATACTTTGGTTTAGCCATTGGTTTCAACTTCCTATCCCACTAAACCACCAACCTAACCTCATTTGTAATCCAGCCCTCCAGCCCCAAGTGCCCCCTGGTGGAGATTCGAAGGAGCGAGGAAGCGGCCTGAAGCTTGGGCCACCAGGATCCTTTCCCCACTTACAGATCCCAGAGCTAAGGCACAGTGATGAGAAGTTTCCCATGATCACCTATGAAGACAGTGGCCACGTTAAAATTCCCAGGCCCTCAGAACATATCCCATTGCTGATTTTTTCTGCCCCCACCCCCACTCCTGCCATAGGATTTCACAGTTCTTAGCTGTCAGACTTTCCTTCTATTTCTTGTTCCATCTTGTTCATCACTCAATAGCCATGTGTGAAGTGTGCCAGAAGACCATGGCTGCGTGTGTTATGGGAAAGAAGAGAGCACTGTCGCTGTCGGCAAGGTGCTTCCAAGCCAGTGAAAGATGCTCAGGAGCTTCCCAGGATGAGGGGCGGGGGAGGTACTGACAGGGAGAGCCCCAGCAGAACAGAAGGAGGCTCCCCCGGGCTGCCTCCCACTCTGAGGATGAGGGACTGGAGCCTGGAGAGATAGGGAGGGTCTAGACGGTAAAGGAGGCCTTGTGGTCAGAATGCACACAGCATCGTCCTGGCCAGTGATAACCCCACAGCAGACATCTCAGCCCCTCTACGTGGCTGGAGGTTGACAGTACTGCCAGGCCCTCCTAGCTGCTAGTGTGTGCAGGACAGTACCAGCTCTGGAGTCAGACTTTCGTGGGTTCTTATGTTAGCTGGCCAACCTCACAAGTCCCTTGGCCTCTCTAGGTCCCGCTTGAGAACTGGGCACCTGGCACAGTCATGGATTCGGAAGAGGCACCTGCCACACCGTGGTTTCCGTTTCCTTGTACCAAGCAGACACGTACCAAGCTCTAGGTGCCAGTTCTAGGCACAGGCAGCAGCAGAGCCAAGCCCTGCTCCAGTGAAGCGAAAATTCAACTGGGAGCAAGCAGCAAACACATATAATATGTCAGATGTTGGTGATAGCTGTGGACAAAAGTAAACAACGCTGAGGAAAGGGACACGGCCGGAGAAGTTCTGTTCATATATAATGTCTTATCTAAAGAGACAGCAGCAGAGCCAGAGATGTGAAGGCAGGGAGGGCATGAGCCATGCAGACATCCAAGAAGCACCATTCTGGGCAGAGAGAACAGCAGTGCAAAGTCCCTGGGGCAGAAGAGGGTCTGGAATGGAGTGAAGGAAGGAGAGCCGTACACAGGCAGAGGTTAATAAGGGCCAGATCATGTGGGTCTTGCGGGCCATGGCAGGGTGTTGGCTGTTACTCTGAAGTGAAGCTGCTGGAGGGTTCTGAGCAGAGGCCGGATAGACTGACTGTGACCAGCTATTTTTAGTTACCAGTTTTCTTCCAGCCGCCCATGTTCACAATCGACTCTGCGTCTAACAGACTCAGCAGGTGGTTGAAACCAGGGTGCAACTTACCGCCACACTGACCCTGATGGTCCCCTGAGTCTTCCCAGGGTGAAGTGGGCGGAGCCCCACAGCACCGTGCATACCTACTCCTTGTTCTCAGAGTCTCCGTCACCAACATAACCCTTTGTCCCTTGCAGAATTCCAGCTTCCTGTGACTGAACCTGACATCAACAACAGGCTGGAGTCCTTGTGCCTCAGTATGACCGAGCACGCCCTGGGAGGTGAGTGGGTCCTCCTTGCATTTTACGGCATGCCTGGGAGGACTACAGTCTAGCTCAGGAGTAATGGGAAAGGCACGGGGGGGGGGGGGGGGGGGGGGGGGGGGGGGGGGGGGGGGGGGGCCCCAGCAGGGAGGGGGGAGGCAGGCAGGGGACAGGGAGAGAAAATGGCCTCAGGGTGCCGTTGGATCCTCATCAAGCCATACTACACCTAGTAGCCTGCAGGGCCCTGCTCCTCCTTTTCTGGGAGGTGAGTCAGGGACCTGGAGACCGAGGCTGGCTCTCTTTGCTCAGAGCCACCCACCCAGTGCACACTGAGGTCCCACCACAGCAGCTGTCGCAGCCAAATGCTGTGAGCTGGAGGAGTCAGAAACACAAGACATGGCTTTTAGTGGCAACATCCCCCCACAGAATTGGATTCTTTCCTTCTCGGCACTAGATCTCCCAGTCTGGTCCAAGCATATCCCGGCTTGCTCTAAAAATAGAATTTTTGAAACCAAAATCCCTGCTTGTTTTTCTATCTTCCTGTTCCAAATGGCTTCCATGACGCCTGGAGCCCCACGCCGTCTGAGGTGTCCTTCACGGTGTGACAGGGATGATCTAGTTCAATGAGCCTGCAGGCTGCAGCCCCAAAGGGAGCTCCAGAAGCAGCTGGGTCGTCCCACGTTTGTTTGGTCTGAAGCCCTACGTCATCACAAGAGCCCCAGGAGGCCTTCAGTGCCCTCCCGGTACCAAGCAAGTGCCTTACTCCAGCCTGCTTTCCCAGCCAGCCCTGGGGATGTTTGGCAGGCAGAGGAGAGATGGCCACCCCTTCCTGCCAACCTCCGGGAGGCTCTGAGTCAGAGAGGCCTCCTGTGACCCTTCCCAATAGCCTTCCCCAGTCAGGATGTGCTCACCCACCCTGGAGACGGGCGGTCGGCACACCTAGAGCCAGAATTTGCGCTATCTGGCAGCTGTGGGGAGAAAGGCTGCTTTCGAGCTGCTGTTCCCCAAGCTTGTCCTCCTGACCAGAGATTTTTAGATTTTTAGTCCCTGCAAACACAGTCTTATCCTGACACCAAATGTGAGGCCAATAAATGCTCTCTGTGGAGCAGATCGGAAAGCAAGGACTGCACCCTCCTGACCTCAGCTGTGCAAGGCTCTCCAGAGCCCAGAGAAAGCCTCCACTCAGGACCAGAAAGGAAGCTAGCTGAAGGCCTCCCCGCACTGCTGACTAAACGGACAGCGGGAAGGCACAGCTCCTGATGTGACCTCCCTGCGGTTCCAGGAACCCCATGGGCAAACACTTGGCCACTCCCATCCTAGAGGCTTCATAGCACCATTGGTCCACGCCTGGTACCACTGTAGGGGGAGGTGCCATGAGGTCTTCTTCGCCAGCTCACCAAGGGGATTGGGTCAGCACAGTGACAGCCCCCTGTGAGTAATGGGAAACAAACCCGGGGCCCATCAGCAGATGGAAATGGATGAGTGAAATGTTGCATAGCCAGACACCATGGCGTCATACAGCCATGCGTGGAATATCATACAGCCCTAAAAAGGAATGTGCTAACCAATACACGCTACGATATGGATGAACCTTGAAAACGTTATGCTATATGAAAGAAGCCAGACACAAAAGGCCACACGGTATATAATTTCCATTTAGGCAGATCTGTAGAGACAGACAGTATAGATTGGTGGTTGTCAGGGGCCGGAGGAAACTAGGAGTGGAGAGTGACTGCTCGATGGGTACCAGATGAAAATGTTCTGGAATTAGATAGTGGTGATGGCTGTACAACTCTGTGAATATACGAAAAACCTCTGAATTGTACGCTTTAAAAGGATGAAATTTGTGATATGCAAATTACATCTCAACTTTTCAAAAAGGGAAGCCTCCCAGACCCTGAGAATTCAGGCCCAGCTCAGCCCACTGCAGGCAGCCCAAGCGCCCTCCCACGCAACAGTGGCTGGGGGGGTAAGGAACTCCTGCTGCCTTTGAGAGTCAGCAAGGAAAACTGACCTTCTCCCCCAGGGCTTGATGCATCTCAGATAATTGGCATGTTGGAAGCCCTTATGAAACTGCTAAGTGCTAACATTATCATCATTAGGAGCAAGAATGCCAAATGCTCTTTATTAAAGGGAGGTTTTCATTTTTCAGGCTTCATTTTTTAGCCCATTCTTCTGTATTTACAGAAAACCTCTTTGAACTGATTTTTTTTTTTTTTTTTGCTAATGTTTTCATCTTGTTCATCTCCTAAGCCTTTGTATTGCTATGTTTTCCCTCAATAATCCTCTCTGGTGGGAAGCCTCGTAAGCAGTTTCCTGAGCAAAGAATGCAAATTACGTTCTGGGTGGCCCAACTGGGCACAGTGGCATTGAGCCCTCCCACTATCACGATCTCTGCTAGCCCACCTCTAGGTGCTGGGGAAGATGACCTTGCTGGGGACCGAATGCCAATGAATTAGTCAATTTACAGGAGGACGAATAATAAGGGAGAGTAAAGCAAAGTAGAAGAGATTCCTCTGCCTGTGTCTCAGGACAGGAAGGGAGGGTGTCCAAATTCCCGGGAGACCACATCCTAGGATGGTCATCCTAATGTGGCTGGTCCATGGACCCCAGGCCTTGGGAGCCCAAGCTTTTGTGCTGACATCTCTGTTCTCAGTGTCCTCCACTAACTGCAGCCCCCCGCCCCCCCCCCGCCCCCACCACCATGTCAGTCTAAGCCATTTTTCTCTTTGGCCTTCCCTTTCTATCTCTTCTTTGCCCTTCCCCTGGCCCCTCCAACAGCACCAAGATGCCTCTGCCATCTTGGTTTGTGAATGTTTAAGGCCTTCATCTGGCTCTACTGGGCCTGCTCATGACTGGTGGCCCCAGATACAAAGGAAGACTCAGGCCTGGCTGCTATCTTCCTCCTGCGGAGGGGTTATATGGGCAGGAACAGCCACAGCTTTACAAAAGCAAGGCTCCTTCAAGCAGGATGAAGTCTGCAGTGAATCCTACCATAAAGAGGAATGCCCAGTCCACTCTCTGATGCTCCAGGACTCATGTTTTCCCATGATCCCCTTGCCATTCCTTCTGACTTTCTCTCCCTGAACACTCTGCCACTCATCTCTCACACCTGAGTTCTGGCTGCTGCATCCAGATGCTCCTTCTGGTAGACCACGTTAGTCACATCGGAGTTTAGATCAGGACACACCTGCTGGTGTTTGGGTATCAGTAAAACCAGGGAAGCATCCTGCATCCCTCCCTGGCCTTCACGTAGTGGTCACTGAACACGGTTGCTTCTGCCTACTGCAGGGGCGAACCCACGCTTCTCTCTGCTCACTGGGTAAGCCCTTGCACAGTCCCGGCATGGACCGCTGTTGGGGCTCTCCTGCCATGGGCCTTGTCCTCTCTTAGGTCATCTGACACAACTGCCAGAGAAACCGTTCTAAAATGAGATCTAACTACTCGCTTATAATGCTCCAGTGACCAAGCCCAAGCTCCCGTTCATAGTACGCAAGACCCTTCTGGCCTCATTCTGGGGTGGGGACTCTTCCTGTGGTCCCACGTGTAAGCAGACAAGCGCAAGGGAGCTGGGCAGCCATCAGCTCCCTCTGCGGTCTGTTTCCTCATAGCCTCTGTCTCGGACATGCACATCCTCCACTTTATAGCCTGGTTTCACCAACCCTCCATAACGTAGACATAGCCTACCCTCCAGAGCTCACAGCAGTCACTCACCCACTTCCACAGGATCTTTCAGTTGCCAGTGCACACAGCCTCTAACGATGGTGTCTGCCCCAATCGGATTCTTGAGACTGAGAAGCTGGATCGTTTTGGGTCAGATGCATAGCCCTGGTCTACTCAGCTGTGACCAGGGCTCAAGAGTCACAGCCACCTCATGCCCAGTCTTTCAGCAGGGACTCGGTGACGGAGAGGATGTGGCAAAGGGGTGTGGGCTGAACAGACAGCCCCCCACCAGCTCTTCGGCACACCTCCTGCCACTCTTCCATTCCCCAAGCCCTCATTCTAGGCCTCCATCCAGCCCTCAGCCCGACCGTTTGATGACCAACATCACACCTGTACATGAAGTGGACGCCCTCCTCAGCCTCTCCCTTTTCTGCCTCCTCTCTCCTCCTACGAGTGCCGCCTTTCAAGTCCTTTTCTTCCTCTGTGAAACTGCCCTGGACTTCCAGGCGCAACTTAAACGTTCCTTCCTCCATGTTCCCACTGTGCCTGGTACATCTCCATCATAGCGGTGATCACTCCTACCTCACTGTGGCTTGACAGGTCTGTCCCAACTAGGATGTGAGAGGACTAGGTCTCTTCCTCTTGATTCCCAGGCCCATGACAGCTCTGGGGAAAATGGCTGTTCTCCGGATGCTGAGTGGCTGGGTGTGTGAAGGAAGGAGCGAGGGAATGAGTAAGTTTGGCTCCTGTGCCCCTCACGTGCTCTCTCTCTCCCAGACGGGGTTGACCGGACCTCCACAATCTAGAAGCTGAAGATGAGAGCGACCGCGCTGGCCGTGAAACCGACTGCTGCGGGTCCGGTGTCAACCATCTTCAGGGTTGCACAGAATCCTCCGAGATGCTTTGCAGCCTTTTTTTCCCCTGGTCCCTCTCCCATTTTGATTTTGTGAGAGCGTAGGTCGTCCTTGTAAACATATCAGTAGACCGGGGATTGGTAATTTTGTCATTTGTTTCTGTCACGGGATGGCTTGGTGTGCGGGGAGGGGAGGGGTCTCTAGGGAAACGAGGGAACGCAGGTGGCCTCCTGGATGGAAAGGGGGAGAAGAGAACACAGTGGCCCCGCGGAAGAGAGACGGGAGAGCCTCGGGAGGGAGGCAGAGGCCTCGGGCCTGGGAGCGCCTCGGAGCTGCCTCCGCAGTCAGGCCCCAGGACGCAGTCGTGGGGGCATGCGACCAAAGCCACATGGCGGCCCGCCCTCCCCGCCGCCCGGATCGGCTTCCCCCCCCCCCCCCAGGACCCGCGGGAGAGGACCGCACGGCNCCCCCCCCCCCCCCCCCCCCCCGAGGACCCGCGGGAGAGGACCGCACGGCGCCGGCGGAGGAGGGGGAGTGTCCCCTCCGACAAAATTGCAGAGAAACTTTGATTTGTGTATTGTTTACATAACAATTTTAAAGGGTACATAATGTGTAAAGAGTTTGGATAGAACTTCTCTTCATACTATGGTTTTTGTAAAGGATTTGTTGATAGGGATTCATTTTTTTTCCTCTATTTTTATAATAGCAGCAGGGTGGTCTCTTACAATGGCTGCCGAGCGGTGCTTGTCGGGAAGGCGGATGGCACGTCACGTGGGCCTCACGTGGGCCGAGGCGTCGGGCTCCCCCTCCCCCCCCGCGGGAGGGAGGGGGGAGGCGGTGCGCGCAGGAGGGTTGGCGGGAGAGCGTGTGGCTGCAAGCGGCAGAGCCCTGGGTAGGTACCGTGTGATCAGGGTGCGTTGGCGGGTCACCAAGAGATTGTAAAAGAATCCTGCGGCCTCTTTCTGGGCTGGGTTTGCCTCTCACCCAGAGACCTCTCTTCCAACCCCACCCCACTGCAGGGTTTCACCCTAGCGTCGCTGCACACGTGCGCGCGCGCGCACACACACACACACGGGTTCAAGTTTCCTTGGAGGAAAAATGGCAAGGACCGATGTTTTTGCCTTGCAAAAGGCCTTAATTCCAGGTAATGAGCTCAAAAACCGCTTCCGCTGCGGTTGCGCTCTGGAACCCAAAGCTGGGGGCTTGCATTGCATCGCCCCGGCTCGCCCACTGCTGAGGAAGAGAAGAGAGCAAGGCCCGGCAACAGTGTATAACCGGTCAGTGAGCAAGTGGCAGAGAGCGCCTGCGGGGCGACCGCGCGGCCAGGCGCCCACCCTGCCGGGTGGGCAGTGAAGGAAGATGTAGGAAAGGTCAACTTTGTGATGGAAACGTGGTTCTATCCACCTACACGTCAGGGATTTGCTGTGTTGTTGGCTGATTTATCTATCCAGCCACACACAGGAGAGAGAAAACCAGTCCTGACATAGTGAGAGATTAACAAACTATGCTACCACAAAGTAATAGCTCTGTTTCTTAAGGGCAAGAAAGACTACGTTTGGGATTGGATACAATGGAGGGTATTAAAGGAAATCAAAGAGGAGTTGTGCTCCGCACTGGAAAATTGGGTTGTGTAAATGATGGTATGAACGCTCAGCCAGAGGCGAGATCAGGGAGGTGGTAGAAGGCCTGTTTATTAAGTGGTGAGTCTGGTGCCATTTCTTTTAGCAGAGTCAGAATCTGAATTAAAGAGATCACACCATGAAAATCACTGCACTCCCGTATGGTTATTTAAAAAAAAAGAAAAGAAAAGTTAATGAAGTAAATACAGGTTTAAGAGGCCTTAATGCAATCTAAACAACTTTCTTTTACCTTCAAGATTAAAAATGTGCACCCCACACAGCCTTGCTTTGTAAGTCTGTTTAAGGTTTAAAAAGGTGGGGGCATCTTAACCGTAGAGAGCCTTTAGCGAGCAAAGGGGGCTTGAACCCATGATACCATGCTTTGCATTAAGAAAGGAGACTTCCCCTTGGGTGACTACATTCTAAAGATGCAAATCCATGTGCAGAGAGAGGCAGCATGTTTTAGTTGATTTTTTTTTTTAACCAAGTGCCATTAACATTCATCCTCCACACCCCTTTTCTAAAAAGCTTAGTGTTTCTTGGGGAATGTGTTGGGATGGACGATCACATGTAAGGCAGGAAGAACAGATCAAAAATGTTGAAGGCCAAAGGTAAGACCAGAGGGTTTGTGAAGGTGTTTCTGGATGCTGAGGAAGTTAATAAAGAGAAGAAAAAACAATGGTATTATACATCTTGTGGAGAAATGAGAAAACATTCAGATCTGCTGCAAAACACATATATCCATTAAGACTTGGGTTGTTCAGAAAACAGATTGTAAACACAATCACATTAGCATGAATCCTTTAAAAGGAAGAAGACCTTAAAGTATTTGCAAATCTGGATTTCTATTTATTCCTTCACTGAATATAGAAACAATGGTTATCTGATTATTAGAGATATTATTTTGGATATGTTACTTATTAACTTGCTATGGCTGGTAACCATGATAAAGTCTGTTATTAATAACAACATAATTCTTTTTTTTTTTAAAAAAAAGAAAAGCTTATTTTTCATCGACTGTGTATAGATTTATCTACTTAGTTGTGTTTTGCTATTAGTGTTTTAATTTTTTTTTAAGTTGAGTGTTCTGATAAATTTTAGGAGCCTTGTCCCCACCTTGTTTTGAGTCCTGTGTTGACTGCAGGTATACAGCTCAATTTTAAAATCCTGAAGCAAAAGAACTTTATTTATAAAGAATCAAACAGTTGCATGCGTAAGGCTGTGAAGTCCGATATTTAGTAATAAAGCGGCAGTGCCTTTTTTTGTATTTACCCATTGACCCCCAAATGCAACTGTTTTATATTAATAGTAAACATGAAAAATCTCAGAGTAAAATCTATTTCACTACATGTCCCCTCCTTTTTTTTTTCTGATTTAAGCAGTATGTGTTTGGCATCTCTACACTGTCCCAGGGACAGTCGCGGTCTACGATATTGTTACCATGTATGACGTTTTATTGGTGCTTTTTATTCATAGAGGTTTCTTAACCAGAAACAGTAGGAAGACACACACGAACTGTGTACAAGAATTGAAACATTGCTGCTGATATGTGTCTTTTTCCACGTGCTTTTTGAGTTTCACTTTTTAAAGGAGGGCCAGCAAGCAAACGAGATGCTGCTGGGTCGGCCTGCAGAGGGCGGCTGTTTTGCACCAAGCTCTCAAATCCTGTGTATTGATGGTCCCTTTTTGGTACTCAGGATGGGAACTACAGCTGGGCCCCCATCTCCCATTCATTTGAAGAGACACTGAGGGAAACAAGGTTTTCTTTTGAGGTGTCGCTGGCTGCCTTTTACTGAATGGGAGCCTTCTCCGGGTCTTGGGTTCTTCTGGATCTCCTGTAGCTACTGCGGTGCAAGGTTTGTAGATGTGCGTTCCCCAGCGAGAGCCAGGATCTCACCAAACGCCGGGCTGGGGGACTGAGCTGGGCTGAATGCACAGCCATGCAACCAGGAGGGCAGCGAGGGGAGGAAAAGCAGGCCCCAGTCTCGTTGACCCCCTGGAGGCATCTGCAGCGGGCAGCTCCGGCTTGGGCGCAGGGAAGCGGCCTGACCAAGGCACTGGGGTGTGCCTGTTACAAGGAGGACCTGCGGAAGGATCATTTGCACATGGGGCTGTGATAACACTAATGTTTTGTTTTGTTTTTTTTTTTACAAGTCATCAGAGATGTTTGCAAAGTGCGTTTTATTTTTTTGTAATTCCTTTATCTTTCCTTAAAGGTGAATGTGTATTCCTCTGGGAGGAATAGGAAGAAAACAGGAATGTTAATAATGTCAAACAGAAGACTTCCTCCCTTATTAATATATAACCCTTGTGTATTTATGCCTAATGTAAGCTGACTTTTAAAAAGCTTTCTTTCGTTGCATGCCCCATGCAGGCATCCCTATTGTACATGCATGCCTCCGTCCTGTTTTCCTGTATAAAGTTAGTGAACAAAGAACTATTTTTGCCTAGTTCATGTTGCCAAGCAATGCATATTTTTTAAATTTGTCATATATGGAAATAGCATGTTTGTTACATGTAAAGCTTTACTGATATACAGATATACTAATGTTTGAAGATGCTGTTCTTTGCAAGTGTACAGTTTTCAAATGTTGTTACCAGTGAAACACCCTTGTGGTTTAAACTTGCTACAATGTATTTATTACTCATTTCCTCCATGTAACTAAGAATCATGGCTATATTTCATATCAATGTTATATTGAAAGCGAAGGGAAATGATTAATACAAGGTTTTGTAACACTGGTGTGTGTGTCTTTTTTTTTTCCCTTTGTGTCGATATGATCGATTAGAAAACAAACTGAATCTTAGAAATAAGCCAGCAAGGAAGAATGAGCATGACATCCCTGTAAATTATTACCACTTGACCACTGTATGCAGACTATGTCTTCAACTTTGAGTTGTTTTTTTACAAAAGAGTAGGGTGAGAGGTATAAAAATTTGTGCAGCTTGATACAGGCCCAGAGTAGCCAATGAATGCATCACCTGACTTGAAGGCATGTTTCTAAATCTAAACCCTATCCTTGTAGATGATATTGCTTATAACTTACTCTCTATCCTCAGTGCCTATGAAATCGTATTTCAGCCCTTACCCATGGCGTAAAGAAACAGCAGCAAGTTTTGACTACACATGGCTTGAATCTCATTCTAATACCTCCCCTAATTCCAGTCCACTATTTGATATAAATTCTAAATAATGTCAGTTAAGCCTATGGCTGGAGAGACTAATATGGGTTCGAAATCTCTGGCTGTGTGATAGGCAACAAGTCACTTAACCTCTCTGATCTTTGGCTTGGTTTGTTGTTTGGCCTATGATACTCCAGGTTTATATAATTAAACCTGTAATCCAGAGAAGGAGAAGACAAAAGAAAAAATAGAATACAGAAGTTATTGCTACCAAACCAAGATTTCTCTGAGGTAGCCATAGCTCGATATTGTAACAATGACCACACAGCCACTCTTTTTACCGGGCTCAAGCTACTCAACTGAAATGCAACATCGAAAATGGTCCCTGGAGACATGTAGAAA